ATATTTTTCTCGCGTAGCTTGACTGAGATGGCAAGCTGGTGTCTTCAAGTCTACTTCGTCTATGATTTTCGCCGATAATGACATCCTGCAACGTGGGTTGTACGAAGAGTTAATGTTTAGCTCGCACATGTCGATATTAGCTACCGGATACATTTGTAGCCGGAGCCGCAGTACGAGCGATCGACAAGCCTTACTTGTTTGCGTGCAGGGATTCAATAGAGCGCGCGCTAAAAACCGTCGTTGCTCTGTGTAAACATATACGGTGACCATCCGAAGTGCGGTGAATGTCGCAGAAAGCGACCCGACCAATTTCCATGTTTTAAAGCTAAATGGGACAAACAGTGAGCATGAAGAGGTTAGTTTGGTAGAACGTCTAATTTCACAATTGGGCGCGCAATTATTCCCTTTTGTGGACGAATGTCACCTACTTGAACTCCAGGATAAATTTTTGTAACTCTGCCCAAGCGACACTCATAGGATTCTGCTCATCTTAGGTATAGATACTGTAGCAGGTTAAACTCCTATCCAGACTCGACCCCTAGAGAGTCTCCGTACGACACTAACCATCTCTTCACATGCGGCCTTAAGCCGACACATCTGACCCTCCACTCTTTCTCTAGTTCGATCCGTCTGTCCGTGGACTTCCTGTTAGATGACCGCGGTGACTTAGATTGATTAACTTGTCCCTAGGCGGGATCAATGTAGACAAAAATGCTTTGCACGATTTAATAACAGTGATGATTTTGGCGTGGATGAAGAAAAACGTGCTGGCCAGTCGAAAAAGGGCAAGGAGTTGAAAGTAACACTAGATGAAGATTCTTGCGAAGCGCAAAAAGTACTCACAGAATCTTTAGGAGTAACTCTAGCAGTCATTTGAAAACATTCAAAAGCAAGGAAATCGGGTGGTCATATGGATTGAAGCCAAGAAACGTTCACAAACGATTGCATGTTAGAAAGACAGCTTGAACTCTACAAAAGGAAAATTTTTGCATCATATTGTAACTGCTGTTGTGAAAATTGATCCATTACAATAACTCCAACACCAAGCACAAGCCTGGCCAACCAACGAAATCAAGGACAAAGCCGAATAAGCACGGAGCCAAGGCAATTAATGCTCTGTATTTGGTGGGATCAGAAGGGCGTACTGTATTATGTGCTTCTAAAATCGGGTGAACGCTACCGAAAAGCGTAGAAATTTTACGTTCAGACACGATGACAACGCTCTTTTTTCCTCTTTTTACAACACCAGTTAAAAACTTTATGGAAAACATCGATTGTAAAGTTTTGCCTCATACGCCTTACAGCCCAGATCTGACTCCTTCTCACTAGCATTTGTTGCGGTAGTCGTCCGCCACAACTATTGGAAATCTTTGTAATACACTAAAAAATTAAATGACTATTCTCCCCCCCTCCTTCTCTAATTTTGCAAATAGAATAGCAAGGACGCATACTTAATAGAGAGTGTTCTTTAAGCTGCAACCATCCATTCTTCTACATCCTGTAGTTATGAGAGATTGAAAGTAAAAAAAAAGAAAAACTCAAATGCATTTCGTTTTAACCAAATGCCTTCACCCACATCTTCCATTATGCGCTCACAATAAATTTCAATCAAATGTCGCCTCAGAGATGAAAAAATGAGTGAAAAAGTGAAATATAAATAAATGAACTGTCCCCGTTCTCGTTTGGCCATTACATACTCGTATATATGTATGTGCTGATGTTGACCTACTTACTGGGGCATTTATAAACTATGAATTGACCTGCTTTTCCTTTATGCTGCACTTACAACAAGGCTTGCATATGTATATGTATATACATATGTATATACAATATATATGTATATAGATTTGTTTGTAAGAAAATTTATTAGTACAAATGTATGTATGTATATGTATGGAAGTGAGCGAGCATGTGTTGCATGTGTTGCATCCGTATCCGTATCCTTCGGCCTCGAAAAAGCTTCTATGCATATGTTTACATGCATATCTATGTATGTGTGTATATATGTATGTATGAATTTTTGTATGTATGCCTTTTTATATTGCGGAAATTGCATTGTATTGCCATATTGTCCTGTTCCACTTACATCACATGAACGTTTGTTCACACATAGATATATATATATATATATATATATATATATATATACATTTTGTTACTGTTATAATGACCTCGTTGCGATTTGCTATAGTATATGGTATACACTTATGTTATGTTATATGTATGTACATATATAATATATATATATAGTAGGAATCATGTCAATAAAGGCGGCAACAACAACAACAACAACAACGACAACAACAACAACAACAACAACAACATGAATATATCAGTGTTGTCCTATTTTTCCCCGCCAAGTGTGAGCAGGTGGTATGAGTGCGTGAAACAAGCACCAATATTACATATGTATGTCAGCATACATACATACATACCAGTATGTACATACGTACATACATATATATATTTCCATGTAAGTGCCCATCTCAACAGAAATCCTTGTACTTGACAAAAATGCACTCAACCCCATTATTGCCTGCAATGGCTTTCACGCGCCCACCGCATGATAGTGTTGAACATATATGAACACATATGTACATACACGAATGTATTGAGATGCATATGAGAGAGCATACATACATATGCAGGTATGTAAATGGCAACTGTTGCTATGCTATCATTTTGGATATTTTTTCTGATATTTATTATTATGTAAAGTTATAAAAAGCATTTCTGTATGTATGCATTTGGAAACACATAAGCACACTTGTTACATATGTACATATGTACATTTATATCTCTGAATTTGCATTATATGCAATAGTCGGACCGTGACCCAGTTTTATGCGCGAGCATCAAATCACTATTAATATACAAACCATACAAACTGACAATTTTTACTATACATATATACATATGTATGTACATATGTGCATACGAGTATGATATATGCAAATGTAATGTCTTACATATAGGCGCCTCTTAGTTATGCACTTCAATTTGCATTTGCGAGGTCATTTACGAAAATTTGTTCTATTCACCCCGCATCATCCCACCTCGTGCCAACCTTGTGCCAACCAAAAGTGGCATCTCTGCTTTGAATGTCATTCAGTCAACTAGTCAAATATAACAAGATGATAAGCCTTGTCAATTAAAGGACACTTTTTCCGCTTTGTAAGCGCAGAAGCAATTTTCGGCCGAGCTTCCCATCCAATTTGTGTTGTGAGTCTTGATGTTTTTTTTTCAACACCTACAGTTTATACTAAGCCGCTTCCGAACAGCCAGCTAATGGCTTTTTTTATTACGAGCTCTTTTATTTTCAGAAATACACTCGGAGGCCTTGACATTCCCAGCGGAGGTGGCGACAAGAGTGAGAAAAATTAATTTTGTGTAATTTTGGATGCTTGGTCACACTAGGACTCGAACCTCAGCCTTCAGAATGGCAGTAGGCAATGCTAACCACTTGGCTATTGTGGTGACTTCACCCAATCCCAAAAAATATAGTCCAGCGGTGTTAAATCGCACGATTTTGAGGGTCAAACCATAGGCTCAGGGCGGGAGAAAATGTATTCACCAAAAGTTTCCTTCAATAAACTCGCTAGAAGCCATACAGCTAGCTTCTAGCGAGTTTGTGTTAGAACCGAAAGTCGTCCGCTTCAAGATCCTCCAATTCAGGCACGAAAAATTCACTAACAATGGCTCTGTAGCATTCCCCATTGACTATAACATTATGGACGGCTGCATTTTTGATGAACCATTTGATTCGCTCTGCCCAGAGAGCACTAAAAATAATGCCGTTTTGAGGGAGTAATAGCGTCTCAACAATAGCTTGGGGATTATAATAATTTTGTTTATCCACGTACCGATTCAAAGAACTGGTTCCTTTCGCCTTTCCAAATACTCAAACCACTTAGTGTGCTTTAGGAAATGCAGGAGATTAGTGACCCCTACAGACGCAAGCTATGTCCCTACAGCTGCGGTAGAAGTCGTTTGAAAAGCAGTCCATACTTCTACCATGACTCTCCACAAGACAGTGTCCGGTTGTTACGCTTACGGAAGACAAATTTAGAAAAAGTACAGATTTAGTTCTGCTTACCTCGATTAATGGCCAGATTTGTCTTCACTCGTCCATCTGCTCTTAGCCTTTCTGGTGAAAGCTAGTTTTAGCAAATACTTCGCCAAGGAAAGCAGTATGTCTACGTCATATGCAGAATTTAGCGTGGTTAAGACTTTTCTCTTTTCAGCCAATTCATCGGCTACGCAGTTCCCTGGGCGTTTCACATACAATGGAGCGTTTGTTTATGATTTCTCTGAATTTTATTGCCACCTTTGACGTGGTATGATTGCCTTGGAACGACTTAATGGCAGTCTCTGACTATTAGAATATGTTCTAATAGGTTGGGTGAACGTATTAGAAATAAGCAACCATGAAGCGGCTTCCGTTATAGTGGTTAGTTCTGCTTGGAATACGGTACAGTGTTCGGGAAGTTCTGTACTTAATTTTATGCTAAGAAGTTCAGAATAAACTCCACAACCTATTGTACTTTGCCATCTAGTTTAGAGCTTTCGGTGAAGATGAAAAGTGAGTTTCACCGCGGAGAGATAGTTTTCTTTGACCTCGTCCGGTTCATCAGATCTCTTGGTTGAGGTTGACATCAGGCTTAATTTTACTCAAGGCAGGAACCAGCTATGCAGGCGCACGTTTCTCATTAAAAGACTTTTCAGATAATGGCGTTGCTTGGTCGTCTATAAATCTCAATATTTCGTAGTTAGGAAGCTGGGAGACTTACGATCGCCGCAGCCTGGTTTAAATAAATTTAAAAATTCCAAACTCAATGGGCAGGAAATAAATTCCATAATAAAATTTACTTTTAAGAATTTTTTTATTATTACGTTTATAATATTTTTTATTCGATGATCTTATTCCCGTACTAAACTTAGTATTTCGATAATATCAGCCAATATCTAATTCCCTTCGTCCATCTTTCTCTACATTTCAGTTGAAATCCAAAGAGCCAAAATGATACCAACTACAGTCAGCAGTTCACCATCTACCGCTACCATTAGCGGCGGTACCACCGGCAACAATCACACTACAAGCAACAATGGACAGCTGAACACCACCTTGTCATCATCAACGCCAACTTCTAGTTCTCCGTCGATCTCTGCCATTTCACCATCTTCAGCCCAAATGCCAACGACTGTATTAGGACTAGCCTCTTTGATATTGGAGGGACGCGCTGTAGCTGACGATGAATTTCAACCACAGATGATACGCCACACTGCGACAGCCAGTGATGCGAGCAATCTTAGTGGAATCGGCGGGATTGTGGGAGGCGGAGCGGGAGGTGCGAGTAGTGGTATCGGCAATAATGTATATAATTTCAGCGCCAGCAATTTGCTTGCCAGCACCTCATATGGTATTAGCGGGAATGGCAGTGGGATTGCTGTTGGCGGTGGACGTCAATCACCCACATGTCGACCGTCCACATCTCGTGCAGCGGCCAGCTTTGGTGGTGGTGGTAGTTTTGGTGGTGGTGTTAGTGGTGTTACTGTTGGTGGACATGTGATAAATATAACAACGAATCCGTATGCCTTTAACAATAGTGGAACGTTGAGTGGGGCACATGCACGTGACTCATCGCCGCTCTACATCGACCCGTACAGCAACAGTAGTTCCGGTTCGACTTCCTCATCTGCTGAAAGCACTCATCAACGTTGGACACAGAAATTGTGTCAGCTACGACAAGTCTCACCGGCGGCAAACCTCAGCACAACCTACGAACAACCCGTTGCGGTGGAGGCGCGTGAACCCGAACTAGTCGCGTTGGCTATCAATGAATCTGGTGCTAATAACGAACGTGGAGATTTTGAAATCATACGGCGCAGTTTACTCAATCGTACAAATTTGAATGCAATGAGCAGTGTGACGTCGTCGGCGACAGCAGTGGCTGGGAGCAATTTCGGTGCTGGTAGTGCAGGCTCCTCGCCTGGATCGGGTTCTGAAAATTTTCTTTACTCACTGCAATCATTGGCGACGACATGTCTGCGCAGTGGCAGTCCGTCGCTAGAGGCGCCTGCCCACAGTGGTATGGGCAGTACAAGCGCTACGGGTACGCCAAGTAGCTATCGCTTTTCATCTCTTGCCTCACCGCCACCAACACATACAATGCATATTTACTATGCCAACACACCGACTGCCACCACAACAGCTCAACGATTTCTCGAACAACCTGGCTCGGGTAGTAGTTGTGGTAGTGGCGTACAATCACCACGCCCACATTGGTCTGCCACAATGGACAACAGCCATAGTGCTTTACATGCAAAGGAGAGATATATGCGTCATGCGACGTCCGCGTCAAGCTTAGGCGGTCCAGCAGTTCGCATGCCAATACCAGGCACAGCTGTGAATACAACCGCAACGGCGTCGGCGGCGTCAACAAACCACAATAATACAACGAAATCGAAGGCGGCGGCGGCAGCGGCGAAGGTGACTGCGTCAACAACAGCGTCCAAGCAGCCACAGCACGGACCGCACTGTGATCAATTCCTCAGAAAGATGGGTCTTGCGAAGAGTGAGGCCGCTGAAGCTGAGGATCATTTCTGTGATATGTCTTACGTAAATATAACTGTAAGTTGAGACGGATGAAGAAATGTGGTTAGACTTTTAAAATAAAATATTTAAAAAAATGTTTTTTTTTTCTTTTTCATCCATCATACACAGTGCTCCCGCTGGCGAGCGTACTGCCATAGAATTGAGGCGATAATAGGACGTGGCGAACCGGTTTGCATAGAGGTTTACTTGGGACCGGTCAACCATAAGATACTACTCGAACAGTGGATAATAACCCAAAAGGAAAAGTAAGTATTCTATCGACAACAACAACAAGTGATGTTGGTATGAAAGTGGGCTAAGTGATCTTGACGCTAAGTACCATGTGGAACCCTACTTCTTACACAGTAGAACATCTGTGATTCCAGTTAATTATGCTGTGTAAGCAATATTTATTGAGATGTAATCGCAGAGACCATCCTAACGAACACTTATTGGAGCTGAGCCAGCTCCAAGTTGCGTCAGGAAGAGATTACTTGACTTTATGGACTCTATGTAGCAGCATAGAACTGAACCGCTACACAGAATGCTATTCTGAGTGGTGACAGTGGCCTGAGTGGATTCAACAACCCCCTGTAGCAAACCAAAAGCTCGAGCTGTCCAACATATTTGTGGCCTGCCTGCAAAGAGCATCCGCACGACACTAACCACCTCTTCGTATGTCCTTTAAACCCAACTTAACCAACACCTCTCTCCATATGCTCTCGTTTCTGGTGGAAAACTCGTTTGATGACCTCGGCGATATATACGTACACATTATTCATGCAGAGATTTAACATTGAATTCATTTTTAATCAGCTATAAAGTAAAGATGTCCTTAATTGAATATCCTTTCATGAAAAATAAAATCAGTAACCTGGCAATCGCAAATCATATTCCTCCTATTTATACTAAAGATCTTTCCTTTGTCTCATTTACAGAGTTCCACCGCCCAACATGACTCTACCGTCACTATGCAGTGCAATACGCAGCCAATTGTATTTTTCCCAAATCAGTGCCTGGTGTGATCTGATCAAGAAATCCGATAAGACTATATATGATACGGGTCGTGTTATTTTCCACACACCCACAGGCGCAGCCGGTGATCTGGCCACACCTGTGGGCAATGTGGGTGGCGTCAGCAGCAATGCTGGCAACAGCACCAGCATCAATACCACCACGCCAAGCTCATCGCCGAGTTCGCATGCGCTTAGTAGTCAACTCAACAATGCGCTGTCTATGAATCGACGACCACGCCTTAATATATTCTACCGCATCAAATCATTTGATTCCACTGCCTGCTTTAATTCAAAACCGAATGTACATAATTTTCCGAATGTCAATATTTCGGAGAATTGTAGCATATCGGTTTGTCTCAAAAGTCTTCCACGCATCAACGGCGGCATACCGAGAATCGGCGTACCACAAATGTTAAACACACCAGCTGCTACAATGGCCACGGCAACTGTAACAACTACAACGACAACAATAACAACAACAACAACATCAACAACGCTGGGAATGTCATCAAAAGGAGGTGGAACATCAAATAAACCTAAAATAACAAAAGCTGCCACATCATCAACAACAACATCAACATCAGCACCAACAACGACTGCACAAGATATGACCAGCTCAACATGCCGCAGTTCGTCTAGTATAGCTGACGCTACGCATCAACGCTTGAACGCATCAAATGGAAGCTTCAGTGGCAATAATAGCGCAGCAAACACGTTACGCAATGGCAGCAGCTATATGAAATCGGAGGACACACCACGTACCAGTCGTACAAGCAGATGTGCGATTGCTAACCAAGCTGCAGCGCTTAACACCGCTGCGACTGCTGGCACTGCTTCGCTTGCGTCTACCAGTGACGTTGGCAAATCACGTGTGTTCATAGATAACTCCACAATATCAGATCAGATGCCGCTCGCAACCTCTACCCGCACCATATTATGTTCGACGAACAGCTCAGGCGCCACAATCAACCGCACTGAAACGGCTTCAAATGGCGAAAGTTGCGTAGGTACCCAAGAGTCTGCGGTGAATAGTGGCTGCAATCGCGTCAGTTGCGCGCCAAAGCACAAATGTCGATTTTTTATTGCGGAGGACGAGCTACTCGCCGTCGACGAGGCAGATGCAGAGGCTTTTGGCGATGAGGATGACAATACCAGTGATGCAGCTAATACCACTGGTGATAGCTTGACCAACGCCAATGCGTTCGGCGCATGTGCTAACATGTCACACCGTGAGAAGCAGCTAATGAAGTACCGCAAGCGTATGTTGAAACGCGACAAGAAGCATCAACACCACCAACGCAAGCCGATAGCAACAGCCTCAGATGCAACGTGCGAATTAGGCGCAACACTGGAAATACAGCGTAGGCAGCAAGAGCGGAATGCGGCGAATTCTTGTCAACCAATGGACGAGGGCGAAGAACAGGAGGACGAAGAGTATGATGCGCGTCATGGCAATGATACTATCACTACGGTAGTGACCCGCACTAGCGCGCGTATCGAAATGATCTCGACGGGCACACAAACACCTATGAGCTGTTGTCGGCAATGTGGTTGCGAAAAGACACTTGTCTGTATGCGCTGCACCACCAGCAACGGTTTTGGTAGCTTGCGCCGAGAACAGGCCATAGATGATCCCACCGAAGAGCAAGATGTTGACGATATGGACGAGTCGGCCGCGTCGAGTATTAGCAGGAGCGATATTATACATACGCCCCGCAACAAAGCCGAACTGCTCTTACAAGCCATACAACGCACGCCCAAAGCGGCAGCAGCTAAGCATAAGAAGCACGAGGCGTCACGCAAAACGTGTAGCGGTAAGTTACAAAATAATAATCACTTGATCGGTGGCGTTTCGTTGGGGAACAGCTCCACTGGTTTGACCGGAGGCAAGAGCAGCAGTAGCAGCAGCCTGCATGAAAATGCTGTGTCGTCGGGTTGTCAAGTTTGTAAGCGTCAAAAGACACAACACAATTTTGGCGAGAGCAAGAGCGCAGCGACAAATGCCGCAAATAATGAGCAATTAGCTGGTGAGGCTGACAATGACGATATTGGCGACGACACTGATGATGATGGTGGGAAGAAGCTCGAGAGTATTGAATTCGATGCGGAAGACGCCAAAGAAATCGAAGAACTGCCAGCGACGCCAATTTCAGCGCAAGTTATGGAGGAGGTAAGTGTATGGGTTTTATATATTGAATCTAAATATATATATATATGTATATCAATACCTATTTACCACGCTCTCACAGGAATCATTTCTATCATCCACTAAACTGACACCACAAATTGAGCGCTGCACACTCTCCAACGCTGCCACCAAATCCATGCGCTGTCAACTTTTGTCGGTGAGCGATCGTGTTGGCGGTGATCAGAAAGCCGTCGACTATGATCGTAGTACGAACAACCGCACACCGCCCATTATTACCACACTGATGGAGGATGAATGTTTCGATGAATCACAGTTTAAAACTCCTACAACAACCGCTGGCGGCGGCATTAGTTATGAAAATGCACAGCAGCAGCAGCAGCAACAAACGCAAAAGCCATCATTCCACCATAAACAGACACCAAAGCCAAATCTGTTACAGTTGCATTGCACGTATCATAGTGAAGTTAGGGGCGGCAATAATAAGCAGGCTGTAGGCGCTGCCGGTGATGGATTTAGTGTGTCAGATGGCAAGTGTGAGTTGTCGACAAGCAACAAACCACACCAACCGTCCCAACAGGTTGGTGCACACAATGCGTTACTGCTGCGTAAAGGCCTACCAAAAGTTAATCTCACCCCGATCTTCTGCAATCCAATGCCCCACTCAGCAAGCGGCGGCACATTAGCGAACAGTCACTCATCGCCAATACCCATACAAGGTGCCACAAATGATAATACTTTTAGTTTTGAACCAGCAGCAGTAGATCGCGGCGGCAGTCAAATACAACTACACCATCAACTAATGCATTCCAGTAGCGGTAATGTATGCGCTTCACCACTCACCACCGAGATCAGTAATATACCTGTGCAAAAGTCATTCTCAGCACCCACCTTACCCAATTCACCTTCACTCTCACCACGTTTTGCCAAACAGGCGGCAATCTATAAGCGTCGCTCACGTCACCTCTCCGATCGCTCTGATCGTTCTTCTTTGGGTTCGGATGAGCAATTCTCCGATGAAGATTTAGAAAGTGGTGGCATGTATAGTCCTGCCACGTCGCCTTTGAAACAGTGTGCACGTGTTGCAGCAGCTTTTGGCCGTCAGCCGTTGCTAGGCAATCTGGAGGAGTCTTTGTTGCAAAAGCGTTTAATGCCAAAGGTGGAAGTGATGGGTTTTAAAGTACTGTTGGGCGCATCCGGTGGATTTTGTCCCACTCAGTTGACCATACCGGCGGCGTCATATTTCTATGAGTTGCGTGGCGAATCATTGAGTACGCCGTATGTGGTAAGTATATTTGATGCTGAATGAAACTCATAATAAATAAAATAAATAAAGAAAAGGAAATTAATTAGATAATTACAATGAAATAAAATTAACTAAACACATTAAAAATAAATTAATAAAATCAAAATAAAACAAAAAAAATTAAAATAAATAGAATAGATTAAATTAAAAATAAAAAAAATTAAATTTTAATAAAAAAATAAATTTTAATAAACAAATTAGATTAAATTAAATTAAAATAAATAAATTAATAATAATAAATAAATGAATTAATAATAATAAATAAATGAATTAATAATAATAAATAAATAAATTTAATTAAAATAATTTGATTTAATTAATTTATAGAAATTAAATTAAATTGGAAAATTCATAAAACTAAAAAGTAAAATAAAAATGGAAAAAATAAAATAAAGAAAAGTAAAACAAAATAAATCTAAAATAAAATAAAATTAAATGTTATTAAGTTAAATTTAAATAAAATAAAATAAAAAAAGGAAAGCGAAAAAATTTAAATTAAATTAAAATTAAAATAACAAATAAAAAAATTATTTTAAAAAAATAAATAAAACTGTTAGAAAATAAAATTAAAATAAAGAAAAAAAATACTCATTTATATTAAAGAACTAATTCAAATTAATTAACTTAAAAAATAATGCAAAATAAAATGAGATATAAAATTAAATTAAATTAAGTTAGATAAAAAATATAATTAAATTAAATGGAAAATGATGTAAATTAAAATGAATCTTTATAAAATAAAATAGAAGGGAACAAAATACAATAAAATGCAAATAAAGAAAATTAATTTAAAGCCTAAAATACAAAAATACAATGCTTTAAAATTAAATTAAATTAAATAAAAGAAAATAACATAAAATAAAAAATCAAATCAAAATAAACAGCATAAAATAAAATAAACTATACACTAACATAAAATAAATCTAAAATTTAAATTGGACATTAAATTAAATAAAATGAATTAAATAAAATAATATGTACAAATTACTAAAAAAAAAATTATTAATATTTACTCCATGAACACCTATTTTTGAATATAAAATACTAATAACGACTAATTCCCTTTCAGTGCGATATACGCCTCCCACGCAAAGGCTACTCCGTTCCTCGTGCTGGCACTGTACAAGCAACTCTGCTGAATCCAATGGGCACTGTAGTGCGTATGTTTGTCATACCGTATGATATGCGCGATATGCCGCCACTACATCAAACATTCATAAGACAACGCATATTGGCCGAAGCCAGTACGCACGAAGCGACGACGCAGAATGTACAGACCACCAGTACTAACAGTACAACAAATATGCCGCAACAAAATAGTATCAGTAATAATACCAATTCCTATACAAATGGCTTTGGCAATGGTGGAGGTGGTGGCGATGGTGCTGATTGTAATTTGAATGTAAGCAATAACAACAATGATACCAACAAGATCAATGTTGGTAATCACAATAATAACAACAACAACAATACCAAAAATAAATATCGCCTATCACCAAGTGGTGGTCTACATGGTGAAAGTAATCTTGGACACTTCATATCTGCTGAGAATATGAAACGCCTACGTTATTCCATACATTTAAGGTGAGTGAATTGTTTATTTAATTGCAAACAGATTTATATAGAAATCGAATTGAAGATTTTTCCTTACATACACACATATACTCATATCCTTGCCACTCCTTTTTTCAGATTCCAAACGTCACGTTCGGGTCGCCTATCATTGCACACCGATATACGCCTGTTGATCTCACGCCGCACCGATTGTGATACGGCAGCGGCACATGCTAAGGGCGTTTTGGAAGCGCCCAATGATCTCGTCACCGACACCGTTATGCCAACAAATCCCAAATATAGTGCACGCCAAGACCAAAGCAGCAGTGGCAGTGGCAGTGGCTGTGGCAGTGGCAGCGGCAGCGGTACTGGTAGTGGGGGTAGTAGTAGTAGCACAAATCTTATCGTCACTGCAACAAATAGTACAACTACCAACAACAATAACAGTAGCAGCAGCAATAAGATTTAGTAGTTGGTGCGAGCAGTGCGCACACAAACGCATCATTATTTTTTATTATTTTGGAAAGAATTGCGTTTACGTTTGCAACACTGGCACTGCAGTTATAATTAATGGAAGAGCCGGGGGGGGGGGGGGGGTTTGAAGAGAAGGGGAGGAAGGAAGAGAGAAAGAAGAGGGAGCCAAGCAGCATGATGGTGATGGTGTATAGCAGAGAGCAACCAAAATAAAATAAAATTAAATTAAAATAAAATACAGCAATAAACACTATATACATCCGAGCAGTTTACAAAGCATTGGCATGTCGGTTTTCAAAAAGCAAGCTGCGAATGAAGTTCGAAGAAGTCAACACAAGTCAGTCTAAATCAACTCTCCAGCTGCACAACATACATAATTTAAGTAATTAGAGATCACAAACACAACAATAAGAACAACAACAACAACAACTTACATGATCCATATCCCTCCCACAAAATCTGCAGCCATAAAAATATACTAAAAAATATTTATGTGATTTCAAAATGAAACTACGCTCCAACACTTTCTCGATTTCTGTAATACATTTTCCCCGATATACTCCTGTTCATCTTCATACTAACATTTACACACATACACACACACACACACACACTTACACAAACGAATCTTTTAAGTCATCCAGCGATATGTATGTATTGCTGTGCTGTGTCGTTTAATATTTTCTTTTATTTAATAAATTTTCGCACACGCATACATAAACATACGCATCAACTGCGCATATACAATTCATACACATACATATGCTCATTTAACTAAATACCTTATGTACAACTCGATGTAGAAAAACAACAAAAAAACCTTTTTTAATTTTATTTATTTTATAAATATTACTTAAATATATACATATACATACATATATATTTTTACTATCATCAACATACAATATATATTTTTTAAATGAAAAAAAAAAACAAAAACAATACAAATTGAAATGAAATTTGCAAATTTATTTGAAAAAAAAAATGTAATTATTGATTTATTCAACTGAGGAATATGAGAATTTGCTGCTTCTTCGTGTGTGTGTGTGTGAAGTATTTGGCAAATCAGTTTCAAAATTTTTCGAAGTAGAGCGAGTGGCCCTTTGGAAACTACTCACTGCGCTGTTCTCACAGGATGAGTTTGTTTAAACCTTGAAATTTTATTTTTTTTTTTGGATTTTTGAAATGATATTTAAATTTTTAGAAATTAGTTTTCGAAATTTCTGAAAACTTGTAATGAAAAAAACTGTTATTAAAATTGTCATTAAAGCGTTTACATTCTAGTGTTGAAATTTCTGTTTTAAATTGACAGTGTTTTTCAACGCTAGTATTTTGTGTCTTGTGTCTAAAAGCTCTATTCACTCTGCTACCATCGATTTGATTTTAGTTCAATTATTTTTTATTAATAACTAAACGAAATGAAAAATTCAAATAAATTTTGAGTTTTCGTTAAAATGTGTATAGTACATGCAAGCGCTAATATCGATCCATTTTGTATGTAAATATGTATGCTCCGGTATACATAATGTGTGCCTGAATTTGTGAATGTGTTAGTTATTATTGCTAAGAGAACTATAAAAATGAACAACAGTATAAAATAATATATTTAAATCAAATTAAAACAAAAAAAAAAATAATAATAAATTAATTAATTTTAAAATAAATCAAAAGAAAAGAAAAATACCGTAAAATGAAACATATTAAACAAAAATGAACTGAAATTAAGTTTAAAAATCTCTGCAATTAAACTGTAACAATCAAACCAAATTATAATAAATAAATCAGTGGGAAATTAAATTATTAAATTTAAATAATAATAAAATGAGTAAAATTTTAATATAAAAAATAATACAATAAAACACACAAACAAAAAATAATACAATCTTAATAAATATTTGAGTTCAAACATGATATTAGCTGAAAAAAAACAAGTTAATTATTTTAAAACAAAAAACATACTTTAATTTCATTTCAAAATATTCAATAAATAGTATTTAAACATTTCCATTATTATTATTTTAAAGCGAATGAAAAACAATGAAATCAACCAAACAGAAAATGAATTAATAAAATATTGTTTTTTTTTATGAATTAAAGCACTAACTAAAATCGTTTAAAATGCGTTTAATGAAGTCAAAAAAGTTAAAATTGAAAAAATTTAAAATTAAATTTTTTTGGCATTTGCAATTTTTAATTTTGGCAAATAATGTATCTGCACCCATACACAAATGTACATAAAATTTATTTTTTGTTAGTATTTGAATGGATTTTTTATTTTTTATTTTAGTTAAATACATATTTGCCTTTGGTAGGATTTTTTTCAAATTTTTTTTTTATTATTTTAAATTTATTTTTTTTTATTTGCAAAGTAATTATTTTATTTATTTTTTGGCACTTTTACTTTTAGTAGTGTAACAAGAACTTCATTATTATATTGCCTTATATTTCGTGTTCACTAGAGTTAGGTAATTTTATTAGATTTTCTATTTTCGTTTATTATTACTTCAAATTTTCATTGATTTTGCGAATTTTTAATTTCATTTAAATAATTGATAAATCAATATTTTCCTATTTGTTATATAACAAAATGAGCCAAATTTTAATGAAAATAAAAAAATAATAACACATATTTGAAGTCAAAAACAAAATTGTATGGTTTTATAGAGAAAATTTTGAAAAGTCTATAGACAAATGATAAATATTAAAATAAGTGCACAGAGATTGATCAGAATATTTAATCCCAAACGCTGTAAAAGCCTAACTATACATAAAAAAATGTGACAATTTTTCGTCCTTAATTCATTTTCAACAAAAAAAATGTGCAAAGAAAAACTGGATTTTATTTTTTAAAAATGCATTTAATTCTCGCTTAAAATTTTGATTAATTTTTTTCTTTAAACTATTCTAAAACTTTAATTGTTACATGTGAGAGTAAGAAATAATTTTCGAAATGTTTAGTATTTGTAGCCAGCAGTTCAATTACCAGCGATAATGTGGCACACTACCACTGATTACTGAAAATGAGCAAATTTTAAGTGAATTTACATTAACAATAATCACTATGGCAGCCAAAATATTTTTGCACAATTTTCTCATTTATAAATTATTAATTATAAAAATCTTCATAAATGCTCTATTCGTTCGAATAGATTATTTAAAAAAAATTTATTAAAATTTTAAAACAATTTTTTATTTTAATTTATATTAAAATTTTTTTAACCAATATTTTTTATTTGTTTTGTATTGATGTAAATATAAAAGAAAAACAAAATAATATAATATAATATGAAATAAATAAAATGATAAAAAATATTAAATAACAAATTTAATTTATGATTTTTATATTTATTTTACTTTTACATAAATAAACTAACGTTTAAAAAAAATTAATTAAACAAAAATGTTAATTTAAAAAAATTAAATATAAAAAATATTAATTAAAAAAAAATGTAAAAGAATCAAATTAGAATAAATTTAAATTATTTGTTTTTTTTTTAATATTTTTTTCTTAGAAAATCATAAAGTCGGAAGCACATATTTTTTTTTATTTAACGATATAAATCTTTTGTAAGCGAAAATCATAAAGTGTGTGATTTTTTTGAGTTAAATAATAAATTAATTTCAAAAATAAAATAATCTTCAATCAGTTTTTGTGTAATTAAAACACGCATATAAATCAAAAATCATCTAAAACAATTTTAAAAATAGTTAAAGGAAAATTTGTTTTTATTCCAAACTGATTTTATCTCAAAAAATTTTTAGTGTTGTATATACAATATTAAAAATTGAATTGTTTTTTTTTTAAATTATGAATAATAAATTTTATAACGTTTAGATCGTTAAATATTTGTGACGAAATTAAAAATTAAAATTAAATTAAATTCATACATAATTTTCTTACTTAGGGAATATATTTATATTTTTTTCAGTTTAAGTATTCATTTTTATTTTTATTATTTAAATGGAATTCAAACATATCAATATAGTTAAATCATTACATAAATTCTGTTCCAATCTAATGCGCTTGGAAAAATTATTTTTGAAGTTTATAATTCTTAGTAAAAATTAGTGCTTTTTTATTTTAATAATTCAATTTTTTACTATTTTAATTTATTTTGTTGTCATATATATTATATTTTATTCTCTTGAAATTTGATTTTCCATTTGTCATCTTGTACTTGGACTTTTTGTATGCCACTAATGTATATTTTGTCGATTAACTTAATGAAAATACTCGTACTAGAGTGTGTTGCCAAAAAACATTGACCTGGCTGGCTGCTGGGTAATGTTTTACATAAATATTGAGATTTTGAACACGAAAAATATTTTAAATTTATTTAAATTTTATTTTGAGTAAAAATTTTTCCTAATGAATTTGTTTTCTCGGAAAATTAATTTTTTTCAAAAATTTTATTATATTTTATTTTTCCAAATTATGTAAATCAGAAGAATAATTTTATATGTATATGTTTTTAGTCCTTTTTTTCTTTGTATGCTTGTGTTAGTGTGCGTGCTTTTGTGTAAGCATTTCTGTGATACGATATGAGCGTATTGCATTTACGATATTCGTTAAATAAATGAATAAATAATATGCAAAGTGATTCTTATGTATAATAAAAGAAATTATGTATTTAATATAAATGACTAAATAACTAATTAATTATTATTGATAAATAAATAATAAAAAAAAAAACAACAATAATAATTATGTGTACAATATATAGAGCCAAACATACATACATACATATATATTTTTAATGTAATATTTTTTAAAATATACTATAAAAATTATTTAATATTTTCCCCCATAAAAATTATACTTCCACATGTTAAATACGTTTAATATTATTAATTAGTTACATACAAATATTATTAAATTTATATATATACATACATATATATTAACAGCAAAAATTGAAAGTGTTCTTCATTAATTAATTAATAATTTATTTTAACATAAATATATAATTATAAATATATACAGACATACATATATACATATTTTCAATGAGTTTTGACTAATAAAAGAATTGTGTTTTTATGCAATAATTCTCGTTNATATATATATATATATATATATATATAGAAATATATATTTGTTTTTATTCATTTCAAAATCGCAATATAACCACTTAAATACGTATGAAAAATTAAATACATAGTAGACAACAACAAAAAATTTGAGACATGCATAAAATATGTATTGTACATACTTACATACTTACATGCATATATGTAGATATGTAAATAGATACATATGTATGTGTTTTTGTAGTTGAAATTATTAAACATTTGAATGTGTATAAGCGATTAGCAATGAGAAGTAACTAATTTTTGTGACATATCCCCGCCGCCTTTTGAGAGAAAAATAAAAAACACGTTTAATAAACAAATAAATAATACTGAAATATCATATGCATAATAAATAAATTGTTTGGGGACTGTTTGTCGTTGGACTAGTGTTTTTTTTTGTTTTTTGTTGTCATTGCAGTGTTAATGAAGGCAAAAAAATATTGTTTAAAGAGTAAAAAAAAGGAGAAATAAATAAAATTTTTAATAAACATAAAAAATGCAATAAAATTTTTTGAGCTACTGAAGCATAAGAAGAGGAAGATTTTTTTTCGTAGAATATTTGTTTAAATTTTATAATTTTTTCATATTTTTTTTTACAAAGCGGTTTTTAATTTTTTTTTTAAATTATTAAAAACGATATTTGCAGATTTTTATTTAATTTTCCCACTGTTATTTTGTAATTGTTTTTTTTTCTCATTTCAATTTTTTATTACTTTCTATTTTTTGTTTTTAACTAATTTTTTTTTTATTTATTTGTATCAATTTTTTAACTTATTAAATTACTTTATTGTTAATTTAATTTAATTTTTTTTTCAATTTTTATTAATGTTTTCTATTGCTTAAATTTTATTATATTATATTTTCATTTCATTTTTTTGCTTTTTTTTTAAATTAATTTTTTTTTAATTTAAATAATACGGCACTTTTTTTAAATAATTTAATACGGTACTTTTTTACTTTTTAATTATATATTTAATATCTTTTTTTGCTAGTATTATATTTTTTACTTTTTTCAATTCTTTAATTTTTATATAATTTTTTTTATTTACTTTTGTAAATTTATTAACTTCTAAAACCATTTTTTTTATTTCCATTTATTTTTTTTTTTCTTCAATTTCTTATTAATTTTTTCTATTGCCTAAATTTTATTAATTTTTATAATTTTATATTTTTATTACAAAGCAATTTTTATTTCATTTTTTTTTAAGTAAAATAATTCGGTACTTTTTTACTTTTACTTTTATTTTTTTTTTAATATCTTTTTTTTTGATAATTTAATTGTTTTTTACTTTTTCAGTTTTTTAATTTTTATTTGAATTTATCAACTTTTTAAATATTTTTTTGTTATTCCATTTGCCTTTTTTTTATTTTTGAGTATTGTATATTGCTATACTTTATTTACCTTTTTAATTTATTGTTATCAATTTTTTTTTATTAATATTTTCAATTTTTTTTATTAATATTTTTCAACTTTTATTTATTTTTGACTCATTGTTTAATAATTTCTTTAATCTTTTTAATTTATTTTTTTTCTTTTTTTAAAATGTTTTTATCAATTATTGTTTCTATTTTTGGTTTTTTGTAACATTCATTAATTTATAATTAATTTTTTATTTCTCTTTTTTATCTCTTTTTATTTAGTTTTTATTTAGTTGTTTCAATATTTATATTAATATTTTTATTTTTTTATTTTTTTTTTATTTTTATTTTATTTTTTTTTATTTTTTTTTTTATTTTTTTATCTAATCTATTAATTATTTCTATTTTCATTTTTTTGTCTAATATTTTTTTTTATAAATTATATCTACATTTGATTTACTTTTTTATATTTCATTTTTTTACTTTTACCAAATTCTTAATAATCGTTTCAATCTCTTAATAATTTTTTTCTATTTTTATTTGACTTTTTTAATACAACTTTTTTACATTACCAAACTTTTTATTAATTTTCAAAATTTTTTCTATTTTCAATTGAATTTTGAATTTTCATTCTATTTTAAAACTTACTTTTATTTATTACTCTGGAGCTCTTTTATGATTTTTTTTTTAGTTACCGAGAATTTTAATATTTTTTATAGCTATTTTAAGGAAAATTAAAAAAAACTTAAATAATTTTGTTCAGTAGACCTTTTTCTATAATTTAATATTCTATCCCAGCAAACTTTACTCTCCGGAAATAATTTGCAGAAATTTGTGAAAACCCCTTTCATTATTTTAATAAAATGTAATAAATATTAAATATAATTTCCCTTTCACTCCTAAGCTGGCTCAAAGAAAGTCTGAAAATGTGAAACAAAAAACTAATTCATTAAGCTGAAGCAATATTTCTTTTATTTTTTGTGCTTAAAAATATTTCTTTTATAAAAATATTATTTTTTTCTTTTTATTAAAATATTAGTTTTAATAATAACAGACTTAGATTTCATAATAACGGATCTTATTATCTAAATTGCATATTATTAGTTTTAATAATAACAACTTAACGGCTCATGTTTAATCGCTCTTTGTGGTAGTGCGTTGTTGAAAAAAATTAAAACTTAATGCAAATAAAAATAAGTCTTGGAAACAGCATATATGAAAATTCATTCTAAAATAACAGTAGTGATTACAGTTTGTCTTAAATATGTGTGATAAATTAAATAAAGCAGTAGGAAACAAACGTAAATAAAAATTAATAAGAATAGAAAGAAATAAAGGTAAATGATATAAAATTGAAAATATGAATTTAACATTTAATTATAAGTATTGTATATAAGTAAGTAAATGAGACACAATTAAAAACAATAATAAAATGTAGTAGTTTTATGTTACAAAAAAAAAAAAAAAACAAAAAGAAAATATATAAATACACATTTTAATATGGAAACTAATCACAATTACACTTGTACACTATTTTTTGGGTAAAATATTTAGAAACAAACAAATATTGCCATACTACACAAATATATGTATTTATATAATTTAACTATAACCAAACATATAAACAAACATATACATAAATGTATGTAGTGATAATGATTATGCAAGCTATAGGGAAAGATATGAGGAAAAGAATTATGGTAAAGAAAGTTTTAAAAATAAAAAGAAAAATAAAAAAACGAATACACAGATTACTAACAATTTTATTTTAAATGAAATACTATACAATAATAATTTTATTTTATATATACAACTTTGAAAATATTACGATGAAAGTGTATTTTGTTCAAATGCAAGCAATAGTTGCAGATTTCAATTGAAAATAAAACAAAAAAACACAAAATCGTGTGCAAGATAAGTCATCTATTTGAGTAGTGTGTTAAATAAGTTAAAACAAAAACAAATAAAAAAGAATCAAATGTTAACTATTATCAATAAATGAGCTGTAAAGAATTCATTAAGTAGCAGCTAAACATACATTTGTATGTGTATATAAATATATATGTTATAAGAAAAGAAAAACAATAATAATTAATGTGGTCAAATAACCAAACAAATAAATATGTACTATACTAAACAAATAAGAACAATACTAAATATAAATACAGATGAATAAATTTATTTTAGAAACCAATAATTGTGCATTCAATTTGAAAATGTCAAGGTAAAACAAGCATACTGTTAACATAAGTCAAAGAAAAACACTTACTTACAAGACAGTAATCAATAAAAATCAAAATAATTGTTAAAAAAACAGGAATTTTTAGTTGCAAAAGCAAAAATAGCGATTTTTCATTGGTAAGTATAATGCACTTTATAAGCAACTTTAGCTTAGAATGGCTTTTATTTAAAAAAGAAATTAAATAATATTGCGAATATTATCGGAGCGTCAACCAAAGTATTACAAATTTATTAAAAACTTAATTTCACCAGAAAACTTGTAATATTTAATACCGATTATTCTCTGTTTCACTCGTTCGCACAGTTTGCGCCGAAAAGTATGCAACAGCATTGTGTATATACGATTTCTGCCGCAAAAACTGAAATTTTCCAATATCTACAATTTTACCAGGCGCACAGCAAAATGCTCAAAATCAAAAACGTCAAAAAAACACTGCTGCCTCTTCACAGCACGCATTCACAATGGCAAAGATCAATAATTTTCAGCAACTGCAAAATACCTTGAGAAATAATTAAAAAGAAAACGTCGTTGCAATAAGCACGCTCTAATAAAACTTTTCTTTTTGAAAAACACCAAAAATGTGTTGAAATTAGAACGAAAACTTGTTAAATTTCAAGCGAAAATTAAACTAATCACCTATTGTGAATTTACACAACAATCAAAAATGCAAGCAGCTGAGTTTGACATTTCAACGCATGTCATGTGTTATTTATTGTTTTGATTTTTTTGTGGCACAACAACGGTGCCAAAAATTGCTTAACACATTTCTTTTAAAAACCATAAACGTAAATCTCGAAAGAAATTCACATTGAATGGCGGACGACTCATCTGATAGCGACTACCATGTCGAGGAGTTTGTAAAACCAAAGCGTGTGCGTCACACAGCCAATGGCGACACAGCCGATTTGCTGGGCAATTTCGATGATGTCAAACGCAAGGAAATACTGGATGGCACTTACGAAGAAAAAACAACAGAAGACAATTCAAGCGAGAGCGAACTGGACGATACGGATAATGAAGAGGACGGCAGTGAAGAACAGGAAATACCAGCTAATGGCGAAGCACAAAATGCAAGTGAAACGAATGGTGAGGCCGAGGCAAGTGGTGATAGTGAGAAGGAGGACGACGATGAGGTGAAAACAAACTTATCAAAAGAACAGCTCGCCGATTTGATGCGCGGTGCTGCCAAGGCCAATCGTCATGTGCTTTATGTGACAAATTTAAATTTCGAGACTACAAAATCTGACTTGGAGTCACATTTCGGCGGCGCTGGCACAGTAAAAGGTGTGCGTATACCAAAGAAGCGACGCGGTGGTTTCGCATTTGTCGAAATGGCTGATATTGAGGGCTATCAACGTGGCTTCCAACTACATAATTCTACACTCCAAGGACGTACGATTAAGGTGCAATTTTCGGAAGCGGGCAAAAAGAAGTCTGCAAATAAGAAAAATATATTGAAACAGAAAAACAGAAAGCTGGCGGAAATGCGGAATGAGCAGAAAACATTTACGAAGAGCGGTAAATTTTATGATAAAAATCTGAAAAAAGAGAAAGCAAAAGATTTGCTGGCACGTAAACGTTGGCGCAAGCCGGCGGGTGCACGTGCAGCGAGAACTTAATTTCATATGTATTTTTAATTAAATATAATATTCTTAATAAAGTTTATTATAATATATTTTAACACCAGATTTATTCAACTAAAGTTTTACATTAACAACAAATCAAACAAAGAGTTTGCATATACCAAGTTTAAAGCTGCCTCTATTTAAGCCAACGTACAATGTAGAAATTTTTCTTCCCCACACGCAGTAATGATAGCCCATTTTTCAGCACATGTATGCCGTGCGTAATTATTTCCGCAATGTTTTGTACGCGCTTTTGATTAATGTAAAAGCCGCCAGCGGAAATAATACGTGTTGCATCGCCTAAAATGAATGAATTTTTGATTTGTAAATCTTAAATTTTCAATATTATACGCACTTTCGTTATTAAAGCATTTAGCTTTCATGGCTAATTGTAGCATGGACATGCCAGGTTCAGCTAGTATTTCCACTACTGCTGCGCCAACAAATGTTTGTTTCACTTCCTCATAATTAAGCTCGCCCAGCGCCTCGACATTACCCTTGTAAAGTGCATCAGTAACGCGTTCCGCTTGTTTAAGTCCCTTTTCTATAAAAAAAAATTAAGTGGTAACATACATACTTATGTATGTATAACAAAATTAATGTAATAAAAATTCTGCTCACCTCCATGCACCAACAAGGTTACATCTTCGGCTAGTATTGTTTGTGCTTTTCGCTTTTCCGGCTCCCTCTGATGCTCGCGCATCAACTGTTCCACGTCCAGCAGCGGTATAAATGTAAATAATTTTAATAACTTCTCAACTTCAGAATCTGCTGTTCGCACAAAAAATTGATACAATGCGAATGCCGAAGTTTTATCTCCATCCAGCCAGACGGCATTTCCTGCCGATTTGCCGAATTTATTGCCTTCTTCATTTGTGACCAACGGTAATGTCATGCCATATACTGGCTTCTTAACAACACGACTTATCAGCTCATGTCCCGACATCAAGTTACCCATCTGATCGGATCCGCCCATTTGGAAACGACAATCGTAGGCGCGATATAAATGCAACCAATCATAAGCTTGGAAAATTTGGTATGTGAATTCAGTGAAACTCATGCCGGATTCTGCTTCCATGCGTGTTTGCACAGATGAACGCGACAGCATGGCCCCCATACGAAAGTGCCTTCCCATGTTGGCGATAAAATCAATGAGATTTATGTTCGCATACCATTCGGCGTTATTTACAACACTTTGAAAAAAAAACCAGAGAATTCGATTACTACATTTGAAATAATGTATTCAAAGACTCACCGTAATTGCGGTAGCTCTTGCTTAAATTTACTATCATCCCAGAGACAATCCTGATGATTTTGGAATATACGCTCCAATTGACTTTGTATACCTTTCAAATTCGCTTCGAGTTCACTTTCACCCATTTGATTACGTTCTGTTTTACGCCCACTGGGATCACCAATCAATCCGGTAGCACCGCCAACCTAAAATATAATTATTTTAGTGCCTTTAAAATTATTGAGTTATTAATTTGTCTTAAGCCTCACACCAGTGCAATAGGATTATGTCCAGCACGCTGACAATGTATTAAACCCATTATCACTAATAAGTTGCCTACATGTAAGCTATCTGCTGTTGGATCGAAGCCGGCATAAATGGTTTGCGGCCCGCTTTTGAAGAGTGTTTTCATCTGTTCACTAAACATGAGTATTTCAATATTTATGTATATGCAAAGTTGAATACAAATCAAATACATTGTTTTATTTACTTTGCATTATCTGGAAAGATGTCTTGAAAGAAACCTCGTCCTTTGAGAGCAAGCAGATTTTTATACGTAATACTACGTTTAGTGAGCACGCGCTGGATTTGTGTAAATAGTAATGTTTGTCTTCGTATCATTTTATAACTAATTCTTAGCCACACTTTGTTATAGCTATTGATTTTATTACATAAAAACTTATTTCTCCTTATTGCTGAGGTAAAACCTTTTAACCCAGGAAATTTGTTTTATAAAGAGGTTATGATTAGAAAACAGCTGTTTTTGTTTTGAGAACAGTTGAGAGACGTTTACAGCTGTTCGTCACGCCCAGAGGTGTTAAAGGTATATGAATTTTGATTATGCTTAGTTGAAAAAGTATTAGTACTTATTTAATGTCATGAGTTCGGTAATTTTTATTTTAATTTAAGAATTATTACTTTTTTCTGCAGTCTTCAATCGATTTTGCAACGTAGTTGGGGTCTTCTTTTTTTCTGCTCTTACCTGCGATTACTGCACGAATATATTCACAGTTGACGCTGACCGCCTAGCTGCTCTCTGTCTCTGTCTCTCTCTCTCTCTCTCTCTCTCTCTCTCTTCCTCATTATTCGATTATCTTCATATAACAACGCTAATTCCCAGAGAACTATGCATACTTTGTAAAATCTTTATTCAAAGCATTCTTTATTTCATCTCATGGAATTTGACCTGAAAAAATCTGGGTCAACTACAGTGCATAGAACCGGCTGTCGGGAGAGTTTTGGTTCACCCTGCGGGTTAGGAGATCATAAATTTACCCACGGTAAGGCATGCCTGTCGTAAGAGACGACTAAATCCCAACAGTTTCAGCGACAGTCGGGTATTTATAACGGTACGACACGGATTATTATCCGGTAATAAAACGAAGTCCTATTTGCGGAATATTTTTACAGTTACTGCAACAACAATAACAGAGTTGGTACACAAATAATACTAAATTCTTACCTATCTAGATTTGATCCCGACATATATAAAGTATATTCATCTTTAAATGAGATATCGTAGGACGCTAATCATCTCATTGCATACCCCTAAAACCAACTCAACTAATCACCTTTCCCTCTGTTCCTGACCCGTCGAAACAGCCAGTTTCTTGAACCTACTGTTAGATGACTCGTCTAGTAGTTCTATGATCTCAGCAGTAGCTTTGGTCTTACACACAATATTTCAATTTGAGCTCTATATTCATTGCTGAAAATACTTATTCCACGGACGTTTTGGACGTTAGCTACCGAATTGCCTTTTTCGTTCCTGCTGGAAAGAGGTTTGGTTCCAAAATTTCCAATTTACTCGTAGAATTTTCCAACATTTCTTCATTTCTTTGTACTCATCTAACATAACTTTCCTATTTATCCACTGATTCAGCCATATGTAGCTTAGATTGGGGTACTACTCCCTCAACAATATTTCATGAGATCAGATGTTTCGAAAGCTACTCTTAGCTAGAAGTTCGTGGTGAGATACTGTTCCTCTCCTTCCCCTATTAGTAAGGTCTTGGTGAGTTGCTACTCGTCGGTTTTGCGTATTAGATCTAGTAAATAGTAATCTATTATTTTTGCATTAAACTAAAGACTTTTTCCCCTCAATCTTCCTGGCAATCAATCTTGACTTTGCTGGTGTCGGCTCAATGTCCTTCGACCACGACCGTTTCCATTTCCGGTTCAGGATTTTATTACGTTTCAGCAGCGATGCCAAATTGGTAATACGGTCCATGAGGTCTTTTCACGTTAACTCATGTGATATCCATGCAACAGGCTTCTTTGTGTAACTAACCTTTTCCGAGTGGTTCCAGTGATTTTGGTGCAAAGTTTAGCTCCCGAGCAATCAAAACAGTGCTCGCATAATGGTCTGACACCACGATTTCCATTATTTGATCGACAATTAGCCTTCCACATCGTGAAGCATCTTTTACATCAAAATTATCGGAACGAAATCGTTGAAAACAAAATTGTGTATGATTGATTGTTAGACCATAATTTTCAACTGCCTGACTGCGATCCAACACTACTCATTAAAGTGGTCAACACTTCTTCCGTATATTTTTTTTGGTACAAAATATCAATCTCTAACTCACTTAGAGAGCGCTTTATCTCGCGCCAATTAAAGCCACATCTTGCAAAAATAGTGGATGGCATTTTACGAGACAAAATATGAGCATTTAGAGGTGAGGAGGAACTACTCTCCCTCCTCCTGGAACGTAGTTACGTGAACCAAAACAAAGCGTACCAAATCTATATATATTTTTTGTAAGGGATACCGGCATCAGACAAGCGAATCTCAGGGACAACCCGATGTTCGGGCTAAGCGATGTAGCGAAAAGGACTGAGAAGATGTCCATTCAACTTCAAGGCAGTAAATCCTAATTCTCTTTCGCTGTCAGGGCCATATCATTGGATCTTGTCATCGTCCACCAACCGACTTTCACTTTCTACTTACAATACTAAGCCCTGCGGAGCGGTTGTTGCTAAATTACTGGAACTTAAGTAAGTGACATATGTAGGTTCACTTTAGAATAAATAAAAAAATTATGAAAAACAAAAAAGGAATAAAATAAAGATGTTACAAAGATGAAATGTCAGTTAGAAAATGTTCAATTTAAAAAAAAAAAAGTTATTATTAAAATAATGATTTCACAATTACTTGGTTTCATACCCAGAAAATGTCTGCAATTTGAATTGATTAGAAAAGAAATCACAATTATAGCGAAAAAATCATTCGAAACAAAGACCCTACAAAAATTAGCCGACGAAGAATACATAGAACTCAATCCAGCCATTGCAAACAAGATGTCGAAAATTTCCCGAAATCTTTACAAGGGTCAATCTGTAGCGATTTTCACCAGTGGTGGCGACTCGTGTGGCATGAATGGCGCACTACGTGCTTCTGTACGCATGGCCATTTATTTGGGTAGTCAGGTAAGGGTCTGTGGTGTATGCGTGTCTGAGCTTACCAGAATTTTATGACTGTACATTGTTTTTATGCCCTCTTCCTTTCTCTCTCTCACACTCTCCAAGCCCTATATGATACGCGAGGGTTATCAAGGCATGGTTGAGGGTGGTGAGCATTTCGTCAAGGCAAAATGGTCATCGGTATCCTCGATTATACATTTAGGCGGCACAATAATCGGCTCTGCGCGCTGTGCAGAGTTCATGCAGCGTGAAGGACGCAAGAAAGCCGCTTTTAATTTGGTTCAGCGAGGTATGTATGTACATATATAACTAATTTAAGGAAAACTTCTCTGTTTGCTCTCTTTATAGACATAAATCGTTTGGTAGTGATCGGCGGTGATGGCTCTTTAACTGGAGCGAATATATTTCGTCAAGAATGGAGTGGTTTGCTGGATGAACTGCTTGCGGAGGGCAAAATAACAACACAACAGAGAGAGAAATATGTCGATTTACATGTGGTGGGCGTGGTAGGTTACAGGTGGAAGCTTACAGACTCTCTGCAATTAATAATTGCCAACTCATTTTCAGGTTGGTTCGATCGACAATGATTTTTGTGGCACAGATTTAACCATAGGCGCAAACACAGCCTTGCATAGAATTACCGAAGCCATCGATTCTATCGCGAGTACAGCTTACTCTCACAAGCGTATATTTATATTGGAGGTGATGGGACGACGCTGTGGGTGAGTATACATATTTGGTTTTTCACAATCCCTGCAGTGCAGTGCTGGCCACTAACTTCAACTTCGTAAGTGTAAATCAGAAGTGGAAAAACAGCGAAAATATTATTAAGGATCTTCATGAAAAATTTTAAATTTTTGCTACAACATTTTGAGACACGTACTTTTATATCGATCGAGAGATCAATTTCGGAAAACTTCTTCACGACTTTGCATTTAAAATTGCTTTATGGTTTTCTCAGCTTTTTAGCAATGATCACGGGGATTATTTCAGAGGCTGACTATGTCTTTTGCCCCGAGGCGCCACCACCAATGGATTGGCATGATCGTTTGTGTGAGAAACTGCAGAAGGTGAGTATAAAATGTGTACCAAAGTAAAATTCACCACTCAATTTGGTAGATAATAGTTCATACACCTTCTCCTGAGTAGACATAAACAAATATATTAGACGAACTGGCTCTAAACAAGCCCAAAACTTAACGATAATTATGCACTTTTTTGCATCATAAAAACTAGGAAGGCGAAGGCGGTCAGCGTCTACATATTATAATCGTAGCCGAGGGCGCGAGCGATTTAAACGGCGAACCAATTACTGTCGAAATTGTAAAAAAGGTAATTTTAGACAAATTAAAGCGAGAAAGTCGAATCACCGTGTTGGGCCATGTCCAACGTGGTGGTGCAACGAGTGCCTACGATCGTATTTTAGCCTGCCGAATGGGTGCCGAGGCAGTAGTGGCTGTATTAGAGGCTACGGGAAACACAACGCCGGTGGTTGTGGTTTTGACAAACAATCAGATAGAACGTATACCGCTTATGGGTGCGGTCGAGAGAACACAGGCGGCGAATGAAGCGCTTAAGAGCGGAGATTGGGCGAAAGCAATTGCTTTACGCGGTGTGTTCTTTCAAGGAAATATGATGGCATTGAAATTATTGTCGCGCGCCAAGCCTCTAACAAAAGAACAGTGTTGTGTGCCGGTACGTTATGTGAGATCTATGGACCGCTGCCAGTGGGAATTCAGATTTATCTCTTTTTCTTGATACAGCCGCCCTTCAATATAGCCGTCATGCATGTCGGATCACCGGCTTGCGGCATTAATGCTGCCACACGCAGCCTTGTGCGCACAATTATTTACAATGGCGACCGTATTTTTGGTGTCTCTAACGGACTTGTGGGGCTCATAGCGGGGCAACTGAAACCTCTGGCTTGGTAAGTCTCTCTACAAAGGAAGTAAAATATTTATGATTTCTCTGAAAACTTGCTACCCTACTTTCAGGAGCGACGTAATCGGTTGGTGCAGTCAAGGCGGCGCATTTCTTGGCATGAATCGCATCACGCCTGAGGGGAAGTATCCGGAAATTGCGCGTCGTTTGCGGGAATTTAATATTCAAGGTCTCGTGGTCATCGGCGGTTTCGAGGCTTATCGCACCGTATTGTCTTTGACAACGGAGCGTGCGAGTTATCAGGAATTTTGCATACCCATGGCTGTAATACCATCCACAATTTCCAATAATATGCCAGGCACAGAGTACACCATTGGCGCTGATACCAGCCTAAATGAGATTACGAAAATCTGCGATCTAATACGTGACTCGGCGCGTGGCTACAAGAAGCGTGTCTTCATCATTGAAACTATGGGTGGATTTTGTGGTTACTTGGCAACTATGGCGGCCATGGCAGCTGGCGCGGATTCTGCATATATTTTCGAAGAGAAATTCAATGTACGTGACATGCAACGCGATTGTGCCAATATGGTGGCGAAGATGAGCGATGTTATTGAGCGTGGCCTGGTGCTGCGTTGTGAAGGCGCCAATAAAAATTATACGGCGGATTTCATGCAACGACTGTACGAGGAGGAGTCGAATGGTTTGTTTAGCTGTCGTACCTGCATTTTAGGTTGGTATAATTGGTGTATAATAATCGCTTGAAGGAAATAATAACAATAATATTTGATCATTCCTTAATCGCTTAGGCCACGCCCAACAAGGCGGCAAACCCACACCTTTCGATCGCTGTATAGCTACCGAGATGGGCATTGCTTGTGGGCAATTTATACACGAACAAATGGTAAAGTCGCTTCAAACAGATGGCACGATGCTGGCCGTTACTAAGCATTCAGCTTGCATGCTGGGTATGATTGGTCCGGAATATAAATATACGTCCGTCGAAGATTTATCCCATCAAACGGAGTTTCAGTAAGTTTCAAATTTTAACATTCAACATGATTGGTATTGGTTAGAGTTGAGTAAGCGGTGGCATGAAATCAGTAGGATGGCCAAGGACTAATACAAGTACAGATGTGATGTAGACTTCAGATTTTTTTTTTTTTTTAAATATTTTTGGACTATTTTACCCACAGCTCCGACTAGCCAGTGTCCGATTCGAGCACTAGCCTCTCTTATTGCAGACGCTCTCTGGACATTGGCATTAATGGCATAAGTAACCACGTCGTGAGTTCTACTTTCCGCAGACTTGATAGGGAAGCGAAAGATGTAGGTCTGCTAATGAACGAGAGCAAAGCGAAATACGGGCAGGCGGCAACTGCAAAATGGTACACCGACAAGTACTTATCAAAAGTTTTCAAAAATTTGTTGAAAAACAGGAAGAAAGTGGATTTGCGGCGAGTAATTTATTTACGATCTCTGGGATCGCAGAAATACCTTGTGATATTTGGTTATTTCCAAAAAATTTAAAGGAAAATTAAAAGGGTATATCTCTTTAATGGCAACGAGGTGATAATTAAAGAGCTTGATGCTCAACTTGATAAGCTTAAAAAGCATGAATTTGAATTCTATTTTTAAAAGTTGATCTATAGGCTCAAGAAATCCATTGAAATCAATGGCGATTATGCAGAGAGGATAAAAAAGCACAAGGATTACGAATAAATACAAGAAGTATTTTTAATTTTTTTCTGGTCAACTAACCGAACTTTTGTTAATTCCCTCATATGTAGCTTTTTATTTGTTTCCTCCTGCAACCGTTACATATTAGAATATTTTACCTCCTTCTCTTTGTTTTTCTTACTAGATATCGCACGCCAAAGAATCAATGGTGGATGAAATTACGTCCTTTGCTAAGAATTCTCTCGACGCATGACTCAGCTTACACAACTGACAGTAAGTATTATTTAATTAAATAATTTGCAATTTATAATAATAAGTTTTAATAATTTTCAGACAAAGCGCAAGTACATCAACAACCCGTGGATATAAATTGCACCGTTAATTAGTATTGTAGATGTCCAACCAAAATGATGTGGAATATATGGAGGAATTACTGTGTTTGTAAAAATGTAACTGATGACATACATATTTACATATATATTTTAGAACGTATATTGCAGCGAAATACAAATAAATTTTTTCTGTCTTTTGACATTTTCTTTTACTAACTGTACTAACTGTAACACCTCAAAGAGAAATTCAAAAAATCAAACCGGAGACGAAATTTACTGTATCAACTTATGATGAACCGTGATTTAGAAATATTTGAGAATGAAAATGATTAAAAAAAAAGTTGCACCGCCTCCGAACGGCCGATGGCTCTTGATGAGCAGGTTGCTAAAAGGTTGCGAGATTTGTATGGTGATGAAGCCTTAAAAGGAAGACAGTGTCAAAATTGGTTTCGCAAATTCCGTTCTGGAGATTTTTCACTTAAAGATGAGTCACGTTCAGGTCGGCCAAATGAAGTTGATAATGACCAAATCAAAGCATTAATCGAATTGGATCGTCATGTAACTGAGCGTGAGATAGGAGAGAAGTTAAATATACCAAAATCAACCGTTCATTATCACATAAAAAGTCTTGGACTGGTGAAAAAGCTTGATATTTGGGTACCACATGTATTGAAAGAAATTCATTTAACACACCGAATCAACGCTTGTGATATGCACCTTAAACGCAATGAATTCGATCCGTTTTTAAAACGAATCATAACTGGAGATGAAAAATGGATTGTTTACAACAACGTTAGTCGAAAACGATCATGGTCCAAGCATGGTGAACCAGCTCAAACCACTTCAAAGGCTGATATCCACCAAAAGAAGGTTATGCTGTCTGTTTGGTGGGATTGGAAGGGTGTCGTATATTTTGAGCTGCTTCCAAGGAACCAAACGATTAATTCGGATGTTTACTGTCAACAATTGGACAAATTGAATACAGCCATCAAGGAGAAGCGACCAGAATTGGTCAATCGTAAAGGTGTCATATTCCACCAGGACAACGCTAGACCGCACACATCTTTGGTCACTCGCCAAAAACTGAGTGAGCTTGGCTGGGAACTTTTGATGCATCCACCATATAGCCCTGACCTTGCACCATCAGACTACCATTTATTTCGATCTTTGCAGAACTCCTTAAATGGTAAAACTTTCGGCAATGATGAGGCTATAAAATCGCACTTGGTTCAGTTTTTCGCAGATAAAGGCCAGAAATTCTATGAACGTGGAATACTACATTTGCTAGGAAGATGGCAAAAGGTTATCGAACAAAATGGCAATTATATATTTGATTAAAGTTCATTTTAAGTTTTATTAAAAATGCATTTACTTTCTTTTAAAAAATCCGCAATTACTTTTTGGGCAACCCAATATAATTGAAGCTTCTTCCGCCCATTTGTGGTGTGCGTCTTGATGTTTTTCCAACAAATGTAGGGACCTACAGTTAATAGTTGCCGCCTCCGAATAGCTGAGCCCTTATTTCATGACAGAAATACACTCGGAGGGCTTGATATTCCCTGTCGAGGTGCGATCACAATTAGAAAAATAATTTTTTGGTAGCACCCTTGCCATTGCCATTAGTCCTATGAGTCCAGGCAAAAATCCGGGTGTTGTTGAGATAAAAATCCGTTCCGACTGTCGTAGGAAAGTTAGGATTTAAGTCAACTGTCACGATAATCATGTCTTATCGCAGGAAAACTCTTTAACCCCTAACCCGCAGCGTTAACGAAAATCCGGATCGTTTCGATGGCAGAAGAAACTAACCCTTCGAAGCTGTTTTATATTTCCGAATTTATTGACTTCTAGTACTAAACTGCACTCATGGTCTATGAATGGTTGTGAGGAAGTTAATTTCACACTCATATTCTACTTTACGCTGCTTTTGTCAGAACCCCTTTCCCAGCAACCACTCAGTTCAGTGTCTTATACAATAGAAAACTTCAAAATTCTTTGATCTAAATTAATTTCAAAATTTTTCGTTTTTACACCAAAAAATTTGCTTTTAAACGATTTTCAATTCCTTTTTTTTTGTTTTTTGGTGTGCTCAGTACAACAACAACAATATACATACATAGATAGATTGCAATAAAGTGGGTAAAAGCAAAAAGTTAAGCAGTTAACAGAACAATGAGCACAACAAGCGAATTAACACGATTGCGGGAATTCCTCAATGAACTAATACCCAGCGAAGATCAGTTGGTGCGTTTGTATCAAAACTTTTGTGCACAGATACGCAAGGGCTTGGGCTCCAAGACCAATAAGGATGCGTCTACAAAATGCTATCTCACATACGTACAAGACTTTCCCACCGGCAACGAGACTGGCAAATATTTAGCCTTAGATTTGGGTGGATCCAAATTTCGTGTACTTCTCATACATCTGAAAGGAGATAGCGAAGCAGAGCAAATCACAAAAATTTACGATTTGACCGAAAGGGAATTACATAGTACCGGTGTAGAGCTCTTCGATTACATCGCCAAGTGCCTACATGAATTTGTGTGTGAACAAAAAGTGGACAACGAACATATGCCGCTGGGTTTTACATTCTCATTTCCATGCGTGCAGACCGGTTTGAGTCGAGCCACGCTTGTGCGTTGGACCAAAGGTTTCAATTGTTCGGATACTGTAGGTGAGGACATAGGCCTTATGCTTAAAGCTGCAATCGCACGACGCCCCGGCCTCAGAATTGATATGGTAGCCATTTTGAATGACACCACCGGTACGCAAATGTCATGCGCCCATCGTAATCCGTCATGTAATATAGGACTCATTGTTGGCACTGGTTGTAATGCCTGCTACACGGAAAAAGTGGAGAACTGTGAACGATTGGACTCTAAATACAAGGACAAGCCGAAGATCATAATAAATGTAGAGTGGGGCGCTTTCGGTGAAAAGGGCGGTGTTGATCACTTATTCACCGATTACGATAGAACTGTAGATCAAAACTCAATAAATCGCGGCGCACAAATTTTCGAAAAAATGGTCTCAGGTGAGTAATAAGGTACACTCAACAAAACGTCATTGAGCCCAAATTTGCAGGCATGTACATGGGTGAGCTGGTACGTTTGATTTTGCTGCGTGCTGTGAATGAGAATTTGGTGTTTGCCCAATGTAAACTACGCAAACACATCACCGACATTCTGACGAAGAAGCCACATTGCATTGAAACGAAAGTCCTGTCGGATATCGCCAATGACAGAGGCGATGATTGGCCTTTGGTGAAGGATGTTTTCAAACAAGTTTTTAATTTGAATAACGCCGATCCCGATGACTGTATGAAATTTAAATTCATCTGTGATGTTGTGGTTAAACGTTCCGGGAACATGATCGGTGTTACACTGAGCGGTTTGGTGAACAAAGTTGGCGAGAGTTTCTCAGTTATTGGCGTGGATGGCACTGTCTACCGCTGTCATCCGAACTTTGATGGCTACATGCGCGAAACATTGGATCGGTTTGTTGACAAGGATTATAAATATGATATGATGCTCTCGGAGGACGGTTCTGGTCGAGGTGCGGCATTAGTGGCTGCTGTCGTTCATAGAGATTATATGGAGAGAAAGTCATTAAATGCTAAATTGAGACAATAATCAATGGCAGGAAATTCAAATGAAAAAGGATTCTGAGTAACCCAGTGAAAAGTTAAAAGACCTGAGCACACCAAATGCAGGTTGACAAATAAAATAAGGAAATTTAATGATACTAACGCTGAAAATAATTGAAAGAAATAAAAAAGTCCTGATATATATACACATATAGAACTGCGGGAATGAGGGAATCATTTATGTATGTTGTTGTTTTTGCGATTCTCCAACCCCGCTTAGAAGCAGGGAAGACCAGTCTCGAGTCACCGAGATCAACTCACGGGAAGTCCAGGAAACGAGGTGAGAATAGGGATTAGATAAGGGAAAGCAAAGAAGTTGTTGGTGGCATACGGGGTCTCAAAACATGCAGAACATATGTATGTAGGGTGTGCTGGGGCCAAGTTTGGGTTTGTAGGAATTAAGCTGAGTACAATATCCAGATCTTGATTATGCTAATGATAATAGGATCCCTCGAGGTAGCTCGAGCTTGAGAAGGTTTCCTCATGACATACTTGTGGGTTCTTTTACTGAGTCTCGCTGGTCCTCGGCGCCCAACTCCGAAAAGCGTCACCGGAAAAGCGTCACCGGAAAAGCGTCACCGGCCGGCGAAATGTCTTGTTTTTTGCGAACAACGTATCTTTTTCTTTGGGTTGTTGTTGTTACCCACACACCCTCTATTGGACTCCTCACCATTTATATTGATATTTGATATTTAAAAATTAAACAGATGCAGGATACCATCCTGCAAAGCAACTTGTGTAATCTTGCGGATTTTAGAAGCTTGAAAGCCAAGGTAGCCCATCGTCCACCTTTTCAACGTCGGCGGCAATTCTTAATGTCCGATAGTAACACTGAATCATTGACGGTGCCAAAATGCTTTTAATAAATCCAGTGCTACCAGGACGGTTCGCGAGCAGAGTCGATTTTGATTAAGTTCATGCGTGTTTTCGGCGTTAAGGATGGCTGTGGATATGTGCACATGGACTCTGATGCTGGGAGAAGTACGACAGCAGCAAGGTCTCAATTGTCTTCCCTATTGGAGATATTATATGATTCTCTTTTGTTGGCTGTTAGTAATGGGACCGCTCTACCTATTTTCCACATATCGGGTATTATTAGCGTGGTCAAAGACAGATTGAAAACCTTGGTGAGATAGCCTTCACCCGCTGATCCCAGAGGTTTTAGCCTCAGTTTTCCCAATAACCACGGAAGCTAATACCGCCGTTTCAATGGGAAAATTAATGCATATTCCCCGATTTAGCAGACGGCTACGGACCGAATATGTATGAATCTTTCGCCTGATTAATGTATTGTCTACGGCAATATCTCTTCTTCATCTCAGTTTTCTCAGTGGCATGCTGATATTCTACGACCTAAAAGTAGAGGCATGAAATTTTAGTAGTTCTCGAATGTATTACTAAAATGAAATTGACGGTCCCGATTAAAATCGATGTAATTAATTATTCCTAACCTTATCCTAAGCTTAACCGATTACTTATAAAAATATGCATCAATAGAACTTGCATTCGACTTCATCAGCTGTGCGGTGGGAACACTTAATTGACAGTTCAGCTGTCATTGCAATAATTTGTTTCTCCTGCCGGGCATTTCTTTAGGATTGCGCTGAAAATGTTACGTCTCCGGTATACACTGCGCCGTATTGTGCAACAAAAGTGTGCTAAAAATGTAGAATATGTGAATGGGAAAAGTGTTCGTGCTGTTAGCACTGCCGTCGGACGTTACAATCAATCTACAACAAAAGCTACTAGCTTTGATTCAACTACATATGAGGATGCCGTTGATCAAAGTCGACGAACTGGAACAGGTGTTAAGATGGCACCAGATACGGGAAAATTACGTTCTCGCCAGCCATTAGTGAAGAACTTTTTCGTTGGTGTAGTTGACAAAGAAATGCTTGGTTTTCCAGAAGTTGTGCAACGTGAAGAAATGGTTCGTATTGAAAATGAAAAATTGCCGCTTACTAATTTCTTCGCAGATAATGTAAATAATGCTATAATTGATCGCACACGTCAAATTCCGACTGAAGTAGTCGATGCGGTGCGACAGTTGGGCTTATACGGTATTAATGTGCCGCAAGATTTCGAAGGTAAAGGCTTAGGCTGGACGGCAAGTTTAATGCTTACAGAACCCGAATCGAATTCCGCTAATGTTGCACTTGGTTTGTTATCCCACCGCGTCATTATTGATTTGCTAAAAGAAGTGGGTAGTAGCGAACAACAACAAAGGTTTTTGCCGCAACTCGTAAATGGTGAGATATATAAATTTTGACAATTCTCTAAGTATTCTCAAATGTTTTCCTTAAATCATTTGTAGGTTCCCAAGTTGGTGTTGAAGCGATATTCGAATATGATATTGCGGAAAATGATCTATTTAATACTACAGCCGTTTATGAGCCCGAAGCCAAGGAATGGGTTTTAAGTGGCAGTAAAGCTTATGCAGTAACTGGCCCATTTGCAACCAGCGATGCCACACCACTTTTCCTAGTTATCGCCCAAACCCGTCGATTAAGTGTGAAAGGTGATGCTGCGCGCAGTACAACAATATTTTTAGTAGATGGTAATACGCCAGGTGTCAAGTTGGGCGAGCAGCATTTGACCATTGGTTGTAGAGGTTTGCAAATAAGTCGCGTTGAGTTTGAACAAGTGCGTCTACCGGAAAGTTGTGTGGTGGGCATAGCAAATGAAGGAAATTCTGTTGCAGAGGTATTACTACGTAGTGGCCGGTTACGTAACGCTCTATTGGGGTTGGGCATAGCTAAGCAGTTGGTTAATAACATGACCATGTACTGCATTGAAAACCAGCAGTGCAATGTGCCGCTGAAGTAAGTGAATTTTTTGTATTTTTTATAATCAACAATTAAACTTTTTTCACATTTCAAGGGATATGGAAATTTTGCAAATGCACTTGTCGAAGGCATCTTGCGCCACATATGCCATTGAAAGCATGATTTATATGACTGCTGGCATACTGGATGAATTCGCCTCGCCCGATGTGGCAATAGAAGCCGCTATTACCAAGGTAAGTTTAGTGTAGAATGTACTCTTTCAATGCTTAAAATCATTGGTATAATTCTTGTTTTTGTTTGTTTAGTATTACAGTCTCACGCAACTACGCAACATCGCGGGTAAATGCATGGATATTATTGGCCCAAAATCGCTACTTTCTGGTCTAGAAACCGAAGTTCTATTCCGTGACGCAGCACAGCTATACACCCAAGGTGAATCAATGGATACGATGCGTTTATATATTGCACTCACCGGTCTACAACACGCAGGCGTATGTTAATTAATTATAAAAAAAAAAAGTTCTTAAAGCAATATAATTAAAATATATTTATTTTTAGGGCCTACTCTCTGACACAGTCCGGATGCAACGCAATCCCCTCTTCCATCCCGGCCACATACTCAGCAAATTTCTACAAAGCTCGAACATAGATAATCCAAAAACTAAAATGCGTTTAAATGAAAATGTGCACCCATCGTTAGAGCCCGCTGCGCAATGTGTTGAACACTCGGTGGCACGTCTGCAGATGTGCGTGGAACTGTTGCTAACGCGTTATGGTAGCGCAGTGGTAGAGAAGCATCATGATATGCAGCGTTTGACAGATATTGCTGCCACAATATATGCAATGTTTGCAAGCTTAGCACGTGCCTCACGTTCTTACTGCATAGGCTTGCAGTTGGCCGACTATGAATTGGTATTGGCTTCCGCCGTGTGTACGCATGGACGCGATAAGGTGCAAAAGCTGTGCAATGAACTTTTCAATGGGCAATATGTAAATAACGATAGCAATTTGGAACGTGTGGCGAAACAAGTGTTCAAGAGTAAAGGCTATTTCCCAGTGCATCCCACTACCTATAATTTCTAGATATTAAATATATAGAACAGATGTTATTGTAACTATATTTAATAGTACAGAATATATTTTTTGTTGAAGATTTGCGATAGAGACGGACGTAAAATAATGTGTTTCTTTTAATTTAACTTTTGTTTTTGTGAAAAAGTAGAGTAGATACAGCAACAGAGGAGTTATTAACAGATATCATTCATCTAGATAGAGATAATGCTGTTGTTGTAGTTGTAACAGCAAAGATATTCCTCTAGGTATTTTTTTGGTGAATGTTGCGGAAGTGACAGTCCTTACCCAAATAAGAGTTTCGGGTTGTTCCGGTATAAAAACCCGACTGTCGCGGTAACTATTGGATTTTAGTCGCCTCTTACAACAGGCATGCCTTACCGCGGGTAAATTCTTGAACTCCTAACCCGCAGGTGGGAGAGATAATGCGCTAGGGGGGTGCTAGGAAAAAGTACATCGCTCCCATATTCCTCCACCATAATAAGTGTTTTTGAGAGTATTTGTTAGTACAAGAAAATTCCCTGTATGCAAAAGTGCCGACTTAAATGTTAAAAATTATTATATATACAATTTTCATCTACAAAATTCTCGAGCTCGACATCACAAAAAAACCAATTCTTGACATGTTGCCGATGTGGGATTTGAGAGAGAAGAAACTTCAGGATCCTGAGTAAACCCAATTAATATTATTGTCGCAGCTCCGAGTTTTCAACTTATCATCTTTTTGTTTGACTTTAAATCGCCACAATAATGCAACCAAGGCGAATTTACATATGTGAATTTACTTCGAATGCAACGTTCTCCATAAAATTTTGATAGATTAAGAGAATATCCCTATTATGTTTTCTTTCTCTACAAAAATTTTGTTAATACATGCATGTTCCAACATGATTCACACAACCAGAGAACTTAAAATAACGAGAAGGTGCAATTGACTTTTTGTTCGATGCTCGATTGAAGTTTCTACAGAGCTAGAAAATCTCGGGAAAGGGATTCACCACTCTGTTAAAATTTGGCTGTAAACTAACAGATTTGACAGTTTAGCATAAATAAAAACTGTTATTGACGACAACAGAAGTAAAATCAATAGAAATATAATATAAATTTAATGGAAATTTACAAATCTACAAGAAATTTCTTTATTATAATAAAAATTTATTATAAATAATTATAATAAAAAATAACAAAATTAAAAATTGGTATGAAAAATATATAATAATTAATAATAGGCTCCTTCGAAGGAAATTTGAACCAGCGCCAGAAACAAAACACCAAAAATATAAAGACATACATATGTACATATGTATGTATATATGCATACGTATGCGCTAACTACGCAACAGCATAACACAAAAATTAAATTTTTCCATTTGAAAGTTGAAATTATTAATATACAAAAAGTATTAAATAAAATAAACAAAAATAAAAAATTTAATAATTTTGAATAAATTGAAGGAATTTGAACCTGCACAAGAAGCAAAAAACCAAAAACCCATGTGGATTTTGGACGCTACCAACTGCGCCATAAAACTACATAAAAGTTCGCTGACATATTCTATACTTATACTGAATCAAAGAAATAGACCAATAGTTTTTCTTCTTCTTATTCAGTTAAATGTACGAAAGAATTGTTCTCCCCGCGCTCACTTCGTCCACAATCGACTTCGCTGATTTGCACAGTGCGCGCGCGTGCATGCGAACAATGCGTACATTACTTCAAAGGATTATGCTCATTAGTTTATGTTATTGAAAGGTGTAGTATTTTCTAATTTTCATACATTTTGAATTGATTTGACATTACTAAACTCTTTTAGTTCTAAATTCAAATTATATTTATTAAAATCTTATGGTTTGGGGGCATTTAGGGAACATTAATTTTTGAATTGCAATACATTTGTTCGCCTTATCGAGAGTACGTTTGTGCGTAACGGGTACAGAAATTTCTTCGACTTCTGATTTTTGTGAGCTGTGGCTTGTGGAAGAGCTGCGCGCGGGGAGAGGTATTGCTTTCGCTTACATACATATGCTTTGTTGACGATGCGAAGAATATTTTTTGCAAGTTCAACTAGGCGACATATATGTACATATGTATATATGTTGTCATGGCAATGTTGTACATATGTACGCAAATGAAGGCATAATATGTACATACAAATATATGTATGTATGAATATTTGGCGGTGGATAAAATATGATAGATTTTTGTTTTGAGAAATCTAAAAANACCAGAGAACTTAAAATAACGAGAAGGTGCAATTGACTTTTTGTTCGATGCTCGATTGAAGTTTCTACAGAGCTAGAAAATCTCGGGAAAGGGATTCACCACTCTGTTAAAATTTGGCTGTAAACTAACAGATTTGACAGTTTAGCATAAATAAAAACTGTTATTGACGACAACAGAAGTAAAATCAATAGAAATATAATATAAATTTAATGGAAATTTACAAATCTACAAGAAATTTCTTTATTATAATAAAAATTTATTATAAATAATTATAATAAAAAATAACAAAATTAAAAATTGGTATGAAAAATATATAATAATTAATAATAGGCTCCTTCGAAGGAAATTTGAACCAGCGCCAGAAACAAAACACCAAAAATATAAAGACATACATATGTACATATGTATGTATATATGCATACGTACGCGCTAACTACGCAACAGCATAACACAAAAATTAAATTTTTCCATTTGAAAGTTGAAATTATTAATATACAAAAAGTATTAAATAAAATAAACAAAAATAAAAAATTTAATAATTTTGAATAAATTGAAGGAATTTGAACCTGCACAAGAAGCAAAAAACCAAAAACCCATGTGGATTTTGGACGCTACCAACTGCGCCATAAAACTACATAAAAGTTCGCTGACATATTCTATACTTATACTGAATCAAAGAAATAGACCAATAGTTTTTCTTCTTCTTATTCAGTTAAATGTACGAAAGAATTGTTCTCCCCGCGCTCACTTCGTCCACAATCGACTTCGCTGATTTGCACAGTGCGCGCGCGTGCATGCGAACAATGCGTACATTACTTCAAAGGATTATGCTCATTAGTTTATGTTATTGAAAGGTGTAGTATTTTCTAATTTTCATACATTTTGAATTGATTTGACATTACTAAACTCTTTTAGTTCTAAATTCAAATTATATTTATTAAAATCTTATGGTTTGGGGGCATTTAGGGAACATTAATTTTTGAATTGCAATACATTTGTTCGCCTTATCGAGAGTACGTTTGTGCGTAACGGGTACAGAAATTTCTTCGACTTCTGATTTTTGTGAGCTGTGGCTTGTGGAAGAGCTGCGCGCGGGGAGAGGTATTGCTTTCGCTTACATACATATGCTTTGTTGACGATGCGAAGAATATTTTTTGCAAGTTCAACTAGGCGACATATATGTACATATGTATATATGTTGTCATGGCAATGTTGTACATATGTACGCAAATGAAGGCATAATATGTACATACAAATATATGTATGTATGAATATTTGGCGGTGGATAAAATATGATAGATTTTTGTTTTGAGAAATCTAAAAAATTTAATAAATAAATATAACATTTGAACCAAGTCATAAAATAAATTGGAAATACTATGAAATGAAATTAGAAAATTAAATAGCTCTTTTATATTAAATAATTTAAAAAATTTTTATTTTAATATTAATTAAATATTTTAAATACTATATTAAACATATGTGTGCATACACACAAATGTATTGCAATTCAAAAATTAATGTTCCCTAAATGCCCCCAAACCATAAGATTTTAATAAATATAATTTGAATTTAGAACTAAAAGAGTTTAGTAATGTCAAATCAATTCAAAATGTATGAAAATTAGAAAATACTACACCTTTCAATAACATAAACTAATGAGCATAATCCTTTGAAGTAATGTACGCATTGTTCGCATGCACGCGCGCGCACTGTGCAAATCAGCGAAGTCGATTGTGGACGAAGTGAGCGCGGGGAGAACAATTCTTTCGTACATTTAACTGAATAAGAAGAAGAAAAACTATTGGTCTATTTCTTTGATTCAGTATAAGTATAGAATATGTCAGCGAACTTTTATGTAGTTTTATGGCGCAGTTGGTAGCGTCCAAAATCCACATGGGTTTTTGGTTTTTTGCTTCTTGTGCAGGTTCAAATTCCTTCAATTTATTCAAAATTATTAAATTTTTTATTTTTGTTTATTTTATTTAATACTTTTTGTATATTAATAATTTCAACTTTCAAATGGAAAAATTTAATTTTTGTGTTATGCTGTTGCGTAGTTAGCGCGTACGTATGCATATATACATACATATGTACATATGTATGTCTTTATATTTTTGGTGTTTTGTTTCTGGCGCTGGTTCAAATTTCCTTCGAAGGAGCCTATTATTAATTATTATATATTTTTCATACCAATTTTTAATTTTGTTATTTTTTATTATAATTATTTATAATAAATTTTTATTATAATAAAGAAATTTCTTGTAGATTTGTAAATTTCCATTAAATTTATATTATATTTCTATTGATTTTACTTCTGTTGTCGTCAATAACAGTTTTTATTTATGCTAAACTGTCAAATCTGTTAGTTTACAGCCAAATTTTAACAGAGTGGTGAATCCCTTTCCCGAGATTTTCTAGCTCTGTAGAAACTTCAATCGAGCATCGAACAAAAAGTCAATTGCACCTTCTCGTTATTTTAAGTTCTCTGCACAACTTGTACAGACCAAACAACTTCCAACAAGTTGCCAACGACATGTTGATGACGAACAAGTTGTTTTGTATCCGTATTTTTATGTGATTGCACATTTTTTTTCTGAGAATTATTCCAAACCAGTTGGCATATTTTTAGAAAAATTATTACTTAAAATTAATATTTACAATGTTTTCGCCTTTGATGATCATAAAAAAATCTTTCGATAAAAGAATGAAACAGAAAAAATCACAAAAGTTAAGAAAACGGAATGGCCGCGACATCGGAAAATGTGAATTATGCGTTTAGTGTTGAAATAAAGCAATAATATTAATACTAAACGAATGTACAATAACAACAATAAATCACTTAAATACCATCGAAACTATTTGATTGCATCTGTGTGCAT